TTTAGGGGTTTAGGGTTTAAGGGGGCTTTAGGGTTTACTTTGGGTGGGCGGCTTTAAGGTTGGAGGCTCAGGGTTCCGGGCTGAGGCTTGGGAGGTTTAGGGTGCAGGGTCTAGACTTCCCCAATCGACTGGAAGGTCACACATAGGGTTTAGGGTTTTGGGTTTAGGGTTTAGGGTTTAGGGTTTAGGGTTTAGGGTTCAGGGTTTAGGGTTGAGTAGGGTCGCTGTCGGAGTCGAATGTAGTGGCCTTCATAATTAGAATCGGGTTTTTGGGGTTCTGTATAATATCACTAGAATAAGGAAACCCCAAAACAGCAGTGGTAATTATTGAGGAACCTATATTAGGGTCTTGCTTCTACCGAAACATTCAAAACCGGAGTCTTGCGATGCAAACTATGCCCAGAGCTCTGCTGTCGGGGATGTGCACATGTCTCTCGAAGTAAGCCTTGTTCATAGTGGTATCTCAGATGCATGTTTTTCGTTGCCATCAAGTTTACGTTTAAGCTCTCGCCAGTGAGCTTTAGTGCTGAGGGCTCGGCGTGCTTGGAAGCCTGTTTGGATTGCACTCTGCCTTCTCCAAAGTCATGTGACGCCCAATTTGAGATAAAAAAAAAGGGCCTAAATAATCACGAAAATTATTTTGGTGATCCTTATTATAGATACAGTTGAAAAAAGAGGATGGCACCTAAACTCTAAACCTTACTCCTCAATCCCCGAACCCCTAACGCTAAACTCGAATGCAGCTCAACAAGTCGAGCTATCCACGCCAGGGATAGTGCGATGCGTTTGAAGATGTGGCTTCTGCTGAGCTGCTGCCGATAGGCTTCCCTCTCAACGGGCTACATCTCAGAAGCTAGATTCTGCGAATGCCTCCCAAACCTCAGCCACGGGTGCACACCGGCCTCCATCACGTTGTCCACGCCTGGCAGGCTACCACACATCCTAACCCTGAACATCACACATGCAGGACATTGCTTAGATTATATGCACCAACGGAGGTGGAAAGGAATCCCAATGCTTTTGTAAAAAAGTTACCAAGCGCACATGCCATGCTAGGGTTTAGGGTTTAAGGCTTAGGGTTTAAGGGTACCAGCCAACCCTGTAGCTCAGGAACCTCATGTACGGGCCTTAATAGCTAGAATAGGGCTCCGGGATTTTTCTGTCTGTATGATAAGGATCCCCAAAATCTTATTGGTGATTATTTAATTTAGGCCCCTATATCACCTCACTGTATCTATGATAAGGATCCCCAAAATAATATTAGTGATTATTTAGGCCTCTAAACCCTAAACCCTAAACCCTAAACCCGAAACCCTAAACCCTAAACCCTAAACCCTATCACCTCAAATCTGGGCGTCAGGGCTTCGGAGCTTAGGACGCTCGGATTAGGGCCTTGGAGAGCCGGGGTCTGAAAATTTCGGGGTTTAGGGTTTAGGGTTTAGGGTTTAGGGTTTTGGGTGTCGGGTTTTGGGTTTAGGGTTTTGGGCTTTGGGTTTAGGGTTTAGGGTTTAGGGTTTAGGATTTAGGGTTTAGGGCTTTAGGGGTTTAGGGTTTGGGGTTTTGGGTTTAGGGGTTTTGGGTTTATCGGGGTTTAGGGGTTTAGAGGTTTAGGGTTTTGGGTTTTGGGTTTGGGGGTTAGGGTTTTGGGTTTTGGGTTTTAGGGGTTCAGGGTTTAGGGTTTAGGGGTTTCGGGGTTTGGTGGTTTAGGGGTTTCGGGGTTTAGGGGTTTAGGGTTTTGGGGTTTGGGGTTTAGGGTTTAGGGGTTTAGGGATTTAGGGTTTGGGGGTTTAGCGGTTTAGGGTATAGGGGTTTAGGGGTTAGGGTTTCACATTACACAGTGTTCCTTTTCAAAGTGGGGCTTGGCCGGAGATCTGATCTGTAACAAACGCCCTGAAACGAGCCCCAGCCTGTGCCAACGCACGACAACTCTACGAAAGCCACTTCAACGCATTTCCCGGAAAATAATACCTCCTAAACACTAAACCCTGAACTCCCTCTCATCCATCAAAAGGTTGAATCAATCACCTCATTGGCACGAACTCCTGTGAAGCAAACGGAACCCAAACTTCCGACATTTCCCCTAAACCCTAAACCCTAAACCCCTAAACCCTAAACCCTAAACCCCTAAACCCGAAACCCTAAACCCTAAACCCTAAGCCCAAGCCACACTCCCGGGAGTAGTAGGGCTCCAAAACCCGGTAGAGCCAACCGCCCTCCGAGGGCTTCGGCTCCGGCGATGGCATCGACTTCCTTTCTTTTTGAAGCTGCTGAGATTCAATTTAGGGTTTAAGGTTTAGGGTTTAGGGTTTAGGAACATTTCGTAACCATGAATTATGATGTAATGTAACGCAATATACTGCAACATAATGTAATAGTAAATAGAGCGTCGTATGATGTGATAGAATGTACTATCTAGAAGCTTGTGGTGCCGGCTTTGGGTGTTATGGCTTCGGCATCGCTGAGCATTCGCACCTTTTCAAAACTCTATCTACAGTTAGCATAGGGAATGCCCGTTTTGGGTAGTTACACCACCGTGAACCATCTATAGCCCAATAATCACAACTAGTAGCCCAATATCTGTCAAGTACTTTACTCATCCTATTTATCAGGTGATGTAACTCGTGATCCACTAACTTGAACCCTAAACCCTAAACCCAAAGCCCCAAGCCCTAAACCTCTAAACCCTAAACCCTCACTCAGCCCGAAGGTCGTTTTGCATTGGGGCCCTCGGATCTATGGGTGTACGTAGAGTTTCGGTTTTGGCTCTTGTCAATTCGGGTTCTGGCTTGATTGATGCATCAGTGCAAGGCCATGCGATTTTGGGCTTGAGGCTTTGGGCTGCGGGTTTAGGGTTTAGGGTTAGGGCCTTGGGTTGCAGGGCGAGTGTTGAGAATCTACAGCCAGAAGGGGATTGGGGGCGGGGTCTCGTTAGGGATGGTTGGGGCAGCAAACTCTGATACTTCTGAGGAAGCAACAGAGATTTTGCTATTCAAAGCTTAAATTCGGTGCCTACTTAGTTTGTAAAGGGGTCCTTGGTGAACATGCACCTAGCAATATGTAGCGGTCTTTGGGGAAACAAAGCATTAAGCACCTAGGCTCGCCTACCACGGTGGCGTTCGGAGTTCTGAACATCTCCGGATCTGAGACAGCCAAAGATTCGTATTAGCCTAAGGCTTTGGGTTTGGAGTCTATGCCCTTCTCCCTCAACTCTAACCTCGAATTCTTACACCCCAAATCCTGAATCCAAACCCTTTTCGAATACCGTAGCCCCTGAACCCTAGTGACCCTAGTGCACCCGAGCAGCTTGATCCGCTCTGGCAGAATTGACACGCGGTCTTCGTGGTTTTCCAGGATCGATCCGATGTATAAAGACGGGGCAAACATCCTTGGCTTGTTTCGGCGGTTCCGAGCTCAGGGTCTTTTGTTTAAGCTTCAGGCTCAAGCACACACTACCACATCCTTAGCTGCTTTCGGGTAGAGGAGACCTTGGAAATGTCTCTTCCCAACCTAAAGCCTAAGTAGGCTTCGGGCTGAGAAGACCTAGAGAAGCGTCTTCCCGACCGTGTCCACCGCCTCCATCTCGGCTTTGTAGCCACCAGCCATGGCCCGAATGTGTGCAGCCAGCGTGGCGAAACGCCAAAACTCTCCAAAACCGTAACCAGAGATCCCGAACCCTAGGCGATAGTCGATTTCGATCCGAACCCAAGACCGGTAAGTGCAAGACCATACACTGAGCTTACCGAGACGAAGAAACCGCTGTGAGCCCGATGATGCCACAAGATGCCCGAAGGATGCGCAGCTTTCCTAAAGTCGACTGCCTAGCTGCCGAGGAAGGTCTTGGTGGCGAGGCGCATGAAGGTGTGTCGTCTGCACTGGCTTGAGGGCGTGGCGATGCAAAAGCCCCTTGAACAGATGTATAGGAGGAGAGATGTGCAGAAAACAGCAATCGCGGCAGCAATTCCTATGCACATAGCCAGAGTGGTCAACAGTCTCAGTTGTTTTCATCGTAAAGCCAAGGAAGCCACCGATCCCAGCTACTGAAAGGGCAGAATGGTCAAAGTACTAGTCCTTCAGGCACCTTCTCCCAGCAATGGGTTGCTCTTTATTACCTTGCTAAAATTATAACTTTTAGTACCCCTAATACAAAAAAGGCTAATCCTAAAAGTCATGAAGCTATAAAGTGATTGTAAAGTTCAACCCTAAACCGTAAACCCTGAACCCCAAACCCTAAACCCTACACTAAGAGTCTTCTGCTAATGGTTCAGGCCCTTGAAGTCACCTCTGTTGTGCATAGAAGCCTCTGAGCACCATGAAAACTCGACGTTTAGGGTTTAGGGTTTAGGGTTTAGGGTTTAGGGTTTAGGGTTTAGGGTTTCGGGTTTAGGGTTTAGGGTTTAGGGTTTAGGGTTTAGGGTTTAGGGTTGAGGAGTGAGTTGAGAGAGCTTGGGGCTTAGGGTTTCTGCTGCTACAGCCCCACGCCCCAGAAATCCTAAAAGCCCTGAGCCCGGCACCTTCTAAAACCCTTACAGAACTCTTGGAACCTTCATAGAAACCGTCCAAAACCCCTATAGAACCCCCTCTTTCCGCCCTTCTTCTTTCCCACGTAAACCCCGGCACCTGAAACTCTGAAATCCCCTAAACCCTAAACCCTAAACCCTAAACCCTAAACCCCTAAAACCCTAAACCCTAAACTCCAAACCCTAAACCCTAAACCCTGATCCCCCTGAGAAGCCTCCCGGCTCTCCGCACAAAGCTCGGAGGAGCGGTCCTGGTGTTACTAAAGGGTTTGGGGGTTTAGGGGTTTAGGCTTTAAGGGTTTAGGGTTTAAGGGTTTAGGGGTTTAGGTTGTGCTGAAAGCGATCTTTCTCTTTCGGTGAACCGTTACAGGAACCCTTCCCTTAATGACGAAAAGCTTCTTGTGAGTTTAAGG